TGAAATCAACTTTTTCGAGTTCAAGTCCACATGTGCAATGCCTTCTTTAGATGATTTCTTTATTTTGATAACAGCAGGACGTTAAACAAATTTTGGAGAAAAATACCCTGTAGAATTTTCCTCGAATATGATTCCTCAATATTTCTGATCTCAATAAAACAGCATTCCACTTTCCACTTATGCAGGGTTATTTATCTATTTTGTATCCCCAGGTACATGCCTGGTTTAATTCTATACTTAATATAAAATCCCATAGAGCAGAATAAAGAAAAATGCCTTACCTGATGAATATAAATAAAATTACATCCTGACATACCTTCAATTAATTTTTTAAAAATTATTTATTTTTATTTTCCTTCAGGAGTATTTTTCCTTCATTCATTCATGTGTATTGTGTGAGTGCCTGGTGCCCGTGGACATCAGAAGATATCACTGAATCCCTGGAATTGGAATTAAGAATTGTTTTCAGTGCTTGATAATAGGTGCTTAGTTCAGAACTGTGATCCTCTGCAAAAGCAGCAAGGTCTCTGAACCGTTGAGACATCACTCTCATGCCATTCACCTCAATTCTTAACTATACTTTTCTCCATTAAGCTAAACTAACGACGTTCCCAAATCCAAATCTCTCTCTCTCTCTCTCATTCTTCTTTTTTGGGGGGATGAGTTTCAAGAAAGGGTTTCTCTGTGAAATAATCCTGGGGTCCTTGTTGTCCTTGAACTCACTCTGTAGACCAGGCTGGCCTTGAACTCACAGAGATCCACCTGCCTCTACCTTCCAAATGCTACCATTAAAGGTGTGTACCACCACTGCCCAGCAGTCATTCTTCCTAAGTAATGCATACTCTTTATGAGACCTTATTATTTTCACTCCTATAGCAGCAGCAGCTATAAAACTGTTCAAATGCTTATTGAGACTGGTCAACTACTTGTTAAATTAATTATTTTGACTGAAATAAAGTAGTGGAAACAAAGTATTGGACCAATTTGAAACAAAAAACCTACAGGATTGGGTGTTGATAAATATTGACAGACCACAATAATTACCTTTATTTTCTTCACTAAACTGGCAATATTTTGTTATTTTGTAATCATTTTTGGTAATTTCTTTAGGGACATACTGTCATATGACCTAACTGTCCTTGAACTCTCTGTGTAGCTAAGGATGAACTCAAGGTCAATCCCCGTGCATTCACCTCCAGAGTGCTAAGATTTCAGGTGTGTGTTGCCATTCCCAGTTTCAGTGTTACTGGTGACAGAACTCAGGTCTTTGTGCCAGCTAGGCAAACACTATCCTTTGAGTAAAACCTCAGTCCTTACTAATATTTACACACAATTCTAAAGTTTCCCTAATGCATAATCTAGCAACAGTCGATATTTAATTAATGACTAAAGCAGCACATTCACAACTTTAATAAATTGAACAAAATAGCTTATCTTAAGTATTTTAACACTTTTGAAACTAAGTTACTGAAATATTAACTTTACTGAAAGTATGGCTGGACTACACTCATAAAATCTCACCAACATAACCACCCCTATATGAGCTGAACAAGAACTATACTAATGGACATGTCAAAGTAGATGGGGAAAAACCCATGAGGCCTTTATCAATTGAAAGAACTACAGACAACTGAGGAAATCTGTTTGCAGGAGATAATTGGTTATACAGTATCAGATCATCAGCTCTGAAAACCTACATACAAGTATCACTGTAAAGACTAATCAAATTATATTTTAGAATACATATAGATATATGCATATACAAATAGGCATATGCCTATCTATATATACTCATGCATATAACAGCGAAAGAACAGGTCATGAATTTGAAAGAGAGTAGGGAGGGGTTTGGAGGGTTTAGAGGGATTAGAATGAGGAAAAAGATGGAAGTATGGTAGGATGGGTATCTACATGATGTTCTTTTTAACAGACATCCTTATTTTTTTATATTTTGGTTTTTTGAGACAGGGTTTATCTGTAGCTTTGAAGCCTGTGTGTGTGTGTGTGTGTGTGTGTGTGTGTGTGTGTGTGTGTGTGTGTGTATGTATGTATGTATGTTTGGGTGCATTCTTGTGTATACAGGGATATAGAAGTCTGAAATCAACCTCAGGCATTGAGTTTTAAGCTCCATCTACCTTGTATTTTTGACAAGGTCTGTCACAGGAATCTGGGTCTTACCAATTAGACTTTAATGCATGGCCAGTGAGTCCAAGGGTTCTGTCTATCCCTCCTGTTATAGCACTGGTATATTCAATGCACATCACCATGCCAAGGTTTATATCTGGGTATACAGTGTTCTAGCTGAAATTCTCACATTAGCATGGCAAGCAATGTAATGACTGAGTTAGCCCCTACTCACCCATCCCAGTCATTTGCTCCAACTCTCTTTGTAAACCTCATTTCTGTGTTACAGTGGAAAATCTTAAACTTTTTGTTTGGTTAAGGTTCCATCATTATTAAAACCAAGTTTGTCTAATTTTCCACCTTCCACTTACTCAGATGTAGGCCTTTCCTACTAGCATAGTTAGTGTATAGAATAGACTTTTTACTTCTCAGCCTACGCCTTTACCTATCAATAGCACAGCTAAACCCTCCATCCTTCATGACACTTGATGCATGACTTGGGCTTGTCTATCATTTTCCATACCTTCTCCATTTACTTTGCTTATGCCATATCTCATATCTCTCACTGTTCTCTCAGTTCTTGAATGTCACAGTTTTTGTTTTGTTTTTCTTTATAATTTGTGGTTGTGCTTTTTGCAGTAGCTTATCTATATTTCTGCAAGTTTATTTTTGAAAAATGATTTCCATGTGGCATGGGTTTAATGGCATTCTTGAACACATCACACCCAAATATATTCCCATATGATATCTTAATTTACTTGTATCCTCCATTTCGAACAAACTCCTTTAGCTCCATCTTCATACTCACCTAGATTTTGGCTACTGTTATCAACATGTTCATTGTTGTCACCATGTCAGCTGTTCTCAGTTTAGTACACACCAACCTCCTGTACAAAGGCTAAGTATGTCATGTACTCTAAGGAGATGCACAAGGAAACTTCCTCGCTTTGATCCATTTTTTTAAACTTGGATATGCTTCCCAAAAATGTCTTAAGCAGGCATGTGCAGGACATTTCTTGAGATCTTGGGTTATATTTCCTCTTGTTTGGTTACTAAGTGAAGACCATTGATGTTTTAACAGTAGCAGAATTCAATAGGTCAATTTTCAGCTTCCTGGGCATGGGAAGGCAGTAATGGCACTGTGAGAGATGACAGATGACATCTTGATTCTAGATTTCTGATTTCTGTTCTACAGAAGCTAGGCTAGAGTTCATGCATCTTATCACTCCAAGGAATTTGTAAGCTCTTAATTCTCTGCATCAAATGTATTCATGCTTAAAATAGCTAGACTCATTTTTAATTTTCTACACTGACAGAAGTTTTAATTGGGACTGTTATTTTTACTCTTGTTCCTTGAAGTAATTTCTTTACATGGCAACCAGAAAGATCAAGTTGTCTTATGACTCTATTTAATGTCCTCCAATTATTTCCCATCTCATTTAAAATTAACTTCATATTGCTTAATATAGCTATCAAATCTACTCAGTATCAGCTTTGCAATTCCCTTTCATATTTTAAAAAATATTTACTTGTTTTATAGGTGTCAGATTGCCTGCATACATGCATTTGCTCTTCATGCAATTCTAGTGCCCACAGAGTCCAGAAGAAAGGGCCATATCTCCTGAAACTGGAGCTATACTCTGTTATGAATGGCTAGGTGTGCAGTGGGCACAAATGCAGGTCCTCGGCAAAAACATCTAGTTAACCACAGAGCAATCTGCACAGTATTTCTGATGACGTTTGTTGTCCTATACTTGATCACTTTCCCCCAGTCATTTTTTATTTGACACTTTCTAATAGTGATTTTCCCCATTGTACTTTTAATTTTCTCATCCTGAATTTCTTTGCATTCATGTCTGCCTTTATTTTCTTATGAATATTATTAACTTGTTACACACAAATGTTATCTTATAAAATAACATTTCATTTGATGAATATACATGATACATTCACTGTGTCGTGGCCACTTTCTCCTATCAGATTAAAGGTCCTATGAAGATAAGAACTTTGTCTTATTTTCCACTGAATTGAGAATGCCTGCAACATTTCCTAGCTTATAAAAATATAACAAGGTAACAAAAGAGAAAATAGTAAATAGATGTGCATCATTGGCTTTTACTAGAAAAGGGGGACAAAGAATATATATATATATATATATATAGGATGTGGACAAATTTTGATATTTTGAAAGCAATATAAAGGTTGTAGTTGGAGTACATCTGTTACACTCAGTCTACTACGTTTTCAAAATGAAATGTGCATTTGTTTTTCTCTTCCACTGGTTCAAATACACTGGATTTTCATTGCTTTGAAAGAAACTAAAGATTTCACATTTTCAGCTTACTTACTTATGAGGTATTAATATATGTCTGTTTATGATAAATGTGAGAAAAGCATTTATAAGGCAAAGGAATATTAAAATAAATATTGCTTTGTGTATTGGGAAGGTCTATTCTGAGTCTGTCATTTGTTTCTTATCCTACTTCTACTGAATGACTAACTTCTTCCGGAGCACAGCCCAATGCTGGAAGCATGCCTTGTGGGGCAAGAGTCTACTGCTCTCAGTGAAGTTATGAAGGACTTTCATGGAGCATTGTGAGAGTAAAGGCTGTAGGGTCAAGCATGAGATGACTACTTTATGTGAAAATTGAGAAACGCTGCAAGATGTAAACACATAATGAATGTACACATTAAAATATTCAGAGATAGTTATTGCTGCTGTGTGCAGGAAAGAGCATGCTGTTAAAGTATTGAGATATTACTAAAAGCAAGACCATCACAGGTCTTTGGCCTTTTTTGAACCCTAGTTTATATTTTAGGATGGCTTCAAAAGACATTAGCCTAAAAAATCTCTTTTGTTGTTTTTATTGTTATAGGTTTCAGGATTGAACAAGGATTCCTAAATACATCGTTTCTTTCTCCGTGCCTACATTTGCAGTCTGTTCAAGCTTACGAGAAAGGACATTAGTAAGAGTGATTAAAATGTTTCTTAATTTAGGAACACAAATTAAGTATTAATAATGAATTTGTGTTCCAAGTAATACAAATAGACTTCTCTTAATATCATATTTCCCTATCAAAGCTCACTTAGTTTTAAATATGAGGAAGATGTACATGCCATTAATTTAGGAATATGAGACTTTTGCTTCCGTTACTACAGGATATTACTGAATTCGGATAGGAATTATAACCACTGTCTTAATGAACTACCCAACATTGTCTGGATCAAAAATTACATAATGGCTGTTGGCTTAAGTGTTCAAATGGACAAAACTACAGCTGTATTCTGTAGATCAATTCTATAATTACATGAGTGTATTCAAGCTTGTCATGATGCCAAGCTTATGAAATCAGCTGACAAGTTTTGAAATGAAACCACTCTATATCTAACAAACTTTCCTGCAAAAACAAAGTAAGCAGGAGCAAACTTTTTGAAAGTCATGCATTTATGAGACTTTAAGAAAATAATTAGTTTGTTGTTACAGAATCACTTAGGTTAGCTAAAAATTTGATGCTTTAAATATGAATCCTCCAACACATTTGATCTTAGAAGCATTTAGATTTAGAGGGATTATTAAGTGTTGATCTTGAGAGCTTGATTATATTTCTTTTAGAAATAAAATTTGTTTTTTCTTATGTTCAATTTTGCTTTTTCCCCTTTTTATTATCTACCATGAGCTATGTCAGAGGGCAAAGGAGCTTTGCCAACATTTCTCCCCTTTTTAATTCAAAGCTAATTGTGTATTCTATAAAAGTATTGTTCCATAAAAGTGTTTTCAAATGAATATACCAAAATATGAAAGATCTTAAGCAAGGTATAGAATATTTTCATTAATCCTGTGATTTCCTTCATTTCCTATTTTAATTACTCTCGACTCTTGACAGCTATAATAACAACTTTCATCAAAGTTTTCACCGATATCAAACTGTAATAAACACAAATAATATAAATTCATTTGTGAGTAACTTTTGGGAAGTTATTCTATTTATACTTTTGAAAAACAAGACCAGCATTTTGTTAATTACTGGGTTAAGTGTCCTGGTCTACTAATACAAATGTACAGTACTGGGTATTCGTCACTCAGTGGTCAGTTTCCTGCATTTTGACCAGTTTTGGATTTCTCTATTAATCTGTATCTTCTCCAAAATGAAGTTTCTTTAATAAGGATGATAGTTTCACTTATGTCTAAAGATTCAGAGTGAGTACCCACAAATGTAGCATTTGTCTATGAGTTAGTCAGTATGTTTTCTAGTTCCACCCATTTACATTAGATATCTATGATTTTATTTTTCTTTACAGTTTAAATGAATCCAAGTGTTTATTTATGCCGTATTTCCATTATCTATTCTTAAGTTAAGGGATATTTAGATTGTTTCTGGTTCTTAGGTATTATAAGCAGAACAGCAATGAATATAAATGAACAAGTATCTGGGCACTAGGACATAGTGTCCTTTGGGCATGTGATGAGGATAATATAGAAAGGTCAAATGGTAGATCTTTAAGCTTTTGGATAATTCTCTAGACTGATATTCATAGTAGTTGCACAAGTTTTTCATCCCACAGTGAAATAATATTATGCTTTCCCCATAGCCTCACCAGTTTTTATTATCATTTTCTTCTTGATATTACCCTATCTATCTATCTCTCTATCTTTCTACCTACCTATCTGTCATCTATCTACTTATTCTTCTTTCACACTCTCCATCCAACCTCTCCCTCCAATCCTCCTCCATTGCCCTCACAGGGATATGGATCAAATACAGCGCATCGAGTTACAATAATGCAAGACACAAACCCTCATTTCAGGGTTGGATGAAACAACCCAGTTGCTTGAAAAGGATACCAAGAAGAAGAAAAGATGGTGTAATATAAAATTCCAAATTTGTTTTAACTTGTGCTTTCCTAATTACTCTGCATATTTAATACTTTTAAAAACTTTTTTAGTCTCTTTTTTTTGAGTTTTTATTTTAATTTTAAATAGTTTGTTTTACATGTCAATCCCAGTTCCCTCTCCCTCCCCTCCTCCCACACCCCCCACCATCCCCCCCCATCCTCCCACCCTATTGCCAATTCCTTCTACATAGGGGATATCTAGACTCTATCATTTCATTCAGGGTAGGGTCCAGGCACTTCCCTAAGAGTCCAGTCAGAGAGAGCAACCCACTTTGTGTTATGGACACACAATGTCTGTTAGTATTTGAGGGATAAACACTGATCCACTGCTCAGGACCCCATAGGTAGCCCAGGCCTCCTCATTGACTTTCACATTCAGGGGGTCTGGATCGGTCCCATGCTGTCCTCCCAGCTGTCAGTCTGGGGTCCAAGAGCTCTCCCCTGTTCGGATCAGCTGTCTCTGCTGGTTTTGCCAGCCTATTCTTTGCCAAGTTGCTCTTCGCTCCTCTCTCTCTCTGTCGCTGGGTTCCTTGGGTTCTGTTCAGTATTTAACTGTGGGTGTTTGCCTCTGCTTCCATCCGTCACTGGATAAAGGCTCCAGGATGGTTATAGACATCAAGTTCACTATCAGGAATGGGCATTCGAGGTGGTCTCTACACTATTGCTTAGCTTGCCAATTGGTGTCATCCCTTTAGATCACTAGAGGTCACAATGGTGCCTGATCTCTCTTCTAACCTATGATTCCCTCTTCCCCCTATCCTACCCACTTTTTTAAGGATACTTCTCAACCATTTTAGTTTCTTCTTTTAGGAATTCTTCATTCAGATATGTAGTCTTTTATTTATGTTGGTTATTTGAATTTTGGTTCTTTGTTTTTTGAATTGTTTGTATATTCCAAGTAATAATCATCTATCAGATGTAGAGTTGGTAAAGATTTTCTTCCATTATGAGTGCTTCCTGAAAACTTCATTAATTGTTTCCTTAGATGAATAAATGTTTTTATAGTTTTACAAAGTCCCATTTATTAATTTTTGTTCTTTCTTTCTAAGTAAATGGAGTACTATTCAGAAAGTCTTTTTCTGTACCTGTGTCTTGGAAGCTACTGCCTATGTTTTTCACCGATTGTAGGATTGCAAGTTTCATACTGAGGTCCTTTTGCCTTCTCTACTTGAATATTTACATAGAGGTAGCTAGTTGTATACAGAAATAAACCCAAGAGTATCTGTGATCCATTCATTCCTTTCTTTACCCTATGTGTCCTTGCTGATAATAACTGTTGGTAATCATTTTGGGATGTTTCAACTTGAGGTTTAATTGATTGTTTATTTGGTTTCTTTTCAAATGACCTTTAAAGAAATTACAGTAAAAACTAAAATATCTTATATTTGCACATACCTACCATTTTGGTACTTTTATTTTTCCTATTAATGACTGAATGCTGACAATTCAATAGTTTAAAAACATTTTTGCATATATATTTAGTACAGAAAACTTAAGTTTAATTTATTTGATTATATTTTTCCCCTTGGTATTTATAAGTAATTTTTTGGACAAACAGATTTGAACCAATATTATTTTAAAAAAGAAATTTGATTTAAGTGATTCATATGTATCCTTATAAAATTTTCATTTGTGTTCCTGATTTTGAGTAGTAGCAATGTTCCTCTTGCTAGTTGTTTAAGACTGTTCTCATCCAGGTGAGCATTGGAATAATGCCATGGGCTTCTTTCACTTTTCAAATCTTAATGTTATTATTTTTCTGTCTATTATAAATGCTTCTATCAGTTATTTTGTTCACCAATGTCCATATCATGGAGATTCAGGACCCTATTTGAGTTCTGAATTAAAACCAAATGTTTTTAAAAACAGAAAAATCGTTTTCTTTACATTGATACTTGTATGAATTATCATGCTTTTAATTTTGCTCAGCAAGTCAGAACTAATCTTAAAGGACTAAGTACCTGAATTGAATTACCATGTGTGTGCAGCATAATGTAAAATTACTTTTCTTTAATTTTTAATATTCTTCACATTTTTATTATGTATTTTAAAGTAGACAGTATAGAAATTAGATATAAATATATGTAGGAATTTTTTAAATCACTCTGTTTATCAGCAATGACATAAGTCAAAAGAATATATGTTGTCTGTATTCACGTTCAAGTTCTTTCAATTGGCAGAACTGAGGTTGCCATCGGGGCTTTCTCAACTTTGTTCTTCACAGCCTAAGCCAATGGAAGGGCTCTTATCTATAGCTATAGTTGTATCAAAGCTAATAAAACTGATTTTTGGAAAGTAGATGATCCACATGAGACATAGGTACATAGAAACTAGATCAATTTTATTTTAGACTCTGAGAAGTGGCATACAAGAGAATGGTAATGAAAAACCACTGTGAGAGCATTAAAATGACCCTGTATGGACTAGCAGGAGACAGTGCAATAACCAATAATGACACCACATGCCCCTTTCTGATTTTCGTGTGTTATACCTGTTATGATGATTATACAATCTGAAACCACTAAGAAAAATTTGATGGAACGTAAATAGAAAAATTTATGAATCATAGTTCAGAATATGATATTTGATTTATATAGCAATGGACAAAAGAGAAATGATATAGTTCTTGGTCCTTAAACTTTACCAATTTTTCTAATGTATATGAACTGCATGCCTAGCATGGGAAAAACAATTCAAAACTGATATCCTTAACTTTTTAATTTTAAATATCTTTTGTTTATTTAATATGTTTTCCATATTAAATATTAAATATTCAACATATGTTCCTTAAGCTTTTTCTTTGTATCCTGTCTTTCCTTTATGTGTTTGTTTATCTTATTTTTATCATGCCAGAATCCTGTTTTCTATTGAGAGAAGAATGGGTATGCATTTTGGTAGGTGGGGAACTGTAGAAGATCTGGGAGGAGGTTGGAGGAGAGGAAATGCAATCATAATACATTATATGCAAAGTATGTATTTTTAATTTTAAAAAAAGGGAAAAATGATGCCCTTAAAGAAGATCTAACCTTAGAGAAGTTTTCATCCATTAGAAGTTAGATAAATGCAAAGGTGTATGGAGATCATAATAAATACGATCCATGACACCTATGCTATGTAAGACTTTAGGAAGGGTGATATAGTACGCCTTGGGAGGTAGGTATATCTTGCCTTCCAGAAAATCCTGTCTTTGAAGAAAGTTTGGTTCTCACAACCTAAGACTCACCAAAGATAAAGCATGGATAATCTGCTCAGATTCTTTTATGCCTGATTTGTGAAGGAATAAAAGTAATGATATAAAGGCTAGTGGTGATGGTGGTATATGAGTAACTGCTGCACTGTCTTCCTGTTTAGCTATGCCTGTAAATTGGTCATTATATTTCTGTACTCTTTAATGGTAACTACATATAGAATTAGATTACATAGCTCCCTGTTTACTTGATTGGCACAAACACCCAATTTGTCTCTTTCTTGAGAAAAAGGACTGCATCTATAGCGTTGTTTACTAGATTTTCCACAGTGATGGTCGGGAAAGGATCTAATTCTGTAGTGGGACAATTTGCATTTTTGATAGAAAGAATCCAGTAGCTTTGGATGAGGTAAGGAGCCTGCTGGCCTAAACACCCTCTCAACTCATCCTGTACTCCTAGGATGAATGACATGCTCGTTTATTTCTTTTGAAATACGTATTAGTCACAGCAGTAGGATTTTCCCAGGAGCAAGGAGCTGACCAATTCTCGTTGCAGTTTAATAGAACTCCTTGGCCTCAGGGATCACACTTACTGGGGATTCCACTTGCACAGATCCATGGTACACTAAGGCAGAAAGCAAAGGTGAAGACTGCCATTGCCTGCCCAGGTCTCCACGGGTGACCTATCAATAAAACAGGAAAACTGTCTGAAGTGGCACCAGTTCTTAGCTGACATAGTGACCAACTGAAGTCCTCAGGGGAAAGAAGACACTGGAAAGGTGTTTAAACTCTGACTGGAGTGTTCAGTGCTGAGGTAGTCAATTACTCAGTTTGAGAAGTAATGGACATCGAATGTTAAGGAAGAGGCCCACGCTTTTCGGTTTGTTTTTGTTAATAAGCAAGTTTAACCATTAGACATTTTAACATATGACAAACCTGATGAGTTAACAAATATTACTCAAAGGCCATTGAGATGGCTTGTGGAAAGATGCAAATTTGAGATTCTTCTTCCATGGTTGCATTTGTGCTGGAAGTATTGAGCCCAGGAGCTGTCTGGCCGGGTTCGAGGGCTTGCAAGGAGGCACTGAGAGTACATTGTATAAGCTGTGAAGGTAAAGCCTGATTCCAGTGAGAACCACAAGATTTTGGAGATGACAAAACCCTGAGACATCTTTCAAGAAGAACTGTACATACAAGGGATAGATGTGTGAGGCAGGCTGCAAAGCTCTATATATAGTGACTTCTAAACCCTTTGAGACTGAAACCCTACATTCTAGACATGGACCTAAGGTATTTAGTGTATACTCAGCATACTCAGCTGGCTTCAGTCTTGCTTTGATTCAGTCTTTCCTGACTATGCCCCATTCCTTACTTCAGAAGCTGGAATGTGTGTTCTGTTCCAGTCTATCTATGCAATGCTGGAAGATTATCTTTTTTTTTAACAGGAGGTCAAATTTAAGGAATTTTCTTGAGACTCTGAAGAGAGTTTATACCATTTTAAAACAGTATTCAGATGATAGAGAATATTTTGTATCATGAGATTGTTCTGAGCCTCTGATGGTCAGGTCACAAATTGGTAGTTTGAACAAGAAATGTATATATACACACATATATGTATACACATACCACACACTCACACACACATATATATTCATATATATATTTGAACACTTGCTCTTCAGATGGTGACACAGTTTATAAACCAAAAGCTAACATATA